ACCAAAGACCATTAAACCTTTTTCTCACGGACGACGACTTTGATCATTACAAATACAAGATAACATAATTTATTCGTAACTCTTGCTTACTAACATGCTGTGTGCTAAAGCTTGAATAGCTACTCTGGAACCACAACAATTCGTTTTGAACGTCAAAAAAAAACGGCCAACAATGCATTTCGGTATTGGAACACATGCATGACCACGATATCGATATCTAACATTTTCCAAAAATAGAAATGAATATAACATAATAATAATACTTTCCTTGGTAATTTTTAACAGGTGATCGATTTTTTAATGTACATTTAAAGAGTCTGATTTTGGTTTCTTGCTTTATGTCAGAGTTCAAATTGTTCCAAATTTTAGCGCCTCTATATGCAAAGGTGCGTTGACCTGCAGTGGTTTTGAAGAGTGGTATTTGTAGTGTGTCCATGTTTGACGTGTGTCGAGTATGGACATTCGAGCGCTTCTTGAATTTGTCTGTCAGGTATTTGGGTGCAAGGTCGAGATCAATGAACTAGAGTGTGTTTTAAAATCATTTTATCAGTGTGTTTGTATTGTTCCATTGAAAAGTCTCCAAATGCAGATATATGCATGTACTTCAGCACATTTTTCCATCAGTGAAACAAAAAATAAAAAAAAAGTGAGAAAGAAAAATAACAATAAGGAAATAAAAGGAAATGCTGGAAAAGATTCCTGCTACGCAAGTGTGTACAGTACAGGTCCATATTTACAGGAAGCATCCACAAAGGTCTGAAACTTTTCACATCTAAATGAACTAGCAATCAAGATATAAGAAGAAACGAAGGAATACATGACCACCGCGTGAAGGTTTTTATTTGGTTTTTGCATTCATCCACGTGTCTTTCAATTTCTCAACAGCTCAGACACGAGATGAAAATTGAGCTTCATGGCAGAGGCATTTTAGAAAGATTTTTTTTCGCTTCAGAATAAGTCCATAGTTTGCAAAGATTGCTTGACATTTACGGTTCAATGTCACTACTCCCATCATGATGCGATAAGGTGACGGAATCTCAAGGGTTTCAACTCTCTGTGCCAAAGCCTTAAATGTCTCTTTTGGCAATTTTTCAAACAGTTTTAAAAGCTTTAAAATCTCAACCACGAGTTTTCGACCTATCGACACAGAAGAATATTAAATCAATTTAATTTAAGTCCGTCTTATAAAACAAACCCCCCAATTTGTAAGGCAGCCTACGAGCCGTAATGCATTCTTACCTGGTTATGCGATGGCCAAAGATGAAAATCAATGCTAAACTATCACACGCTCCTTTTCACTGTTTCAAAATTATCTTTACGTTCTAATTCACTTCGTTCAAACGAACGTAAAATATTTTTCTCCTATATTACGAATATAGTAATGACAACAAACATTGTTGTATATAGTCATAGCGGTTTTAAAATGTATCAACGAGTATCATGAAACGAACGATTACGGACATCGAAAAAGAGATTGAAAATACCACTCTGAGTAACAAAAAGGAGTTTTTAAGGATTTTTGACATTTTTACCATATTGGCCTTTCAAGTGCACTTGAAAAAGAGTTTTCGATTCAAGGGCTTTTCAAGGAGTTCAAGGAGGAGCGCGAACCCTGGACCAAGTATAAGTCACGAGAATTTGATATCAAATATCGCCCTGTTCCGTTCACCTCGGCCAGTCCCGACAATCCTTGAAGCAATTCTCTGGGTTGCAATCAGCGTGAAAAATGTCCGAAAAACCTAGCTTTACGTCGGGAAGACTTACCTTTGTGCTAATAGGAATAATTGCTGTGTTGTGCTTTGGAGCGCTTGTTCGAGTTGAACTGATCTTAAGAGAGCAGAGGGAATTGATCAACACGATGCAAGAAAAGACCGACTGCATGGTTTCTTGTAGATTCAAGACAAGCGAAGCCAAAGGTATAAAAACAATTGAAAAATTCGCACAGAAAACAATATCATGCATGACCACGATATCGATATCTAACATTTTCCAAAAATACAAATGAATCTAACATAATAATAATAATCTCCTTGGTAATATTTTAACAGGTGAGTTTTTAATGTACATTTAAAGAGTCTGATTTTGATTTCTTGCTTTATGTCAGAGTTCAAATTGTTCCAAATTTTAGCGCCTCTATATGCAAAGGTGTGTTGACCTGCAGCGGTTTGAAGAGTGGTGTTTCAGTGTAGTGTGTCCATGTTTGCCGTGTGTCGAGTGTGGACATTCGAGCGCTTCTTGAATGTCTGGTATTTGGGTGCAAGGTCGAGATCGATGACTAGTATAGAGTGTGTTTTAAAATCATTTTATCAGTGTGTTTCTATTGTTCCATTGAAAAGTCTCCAAATGCAGATATATGCATGTACTTCAGCACATTTTTCCATCAGTGAAACAAAAAATAAAAAAACGTNTATCATGACTGATATATTTTTTGAGTTGTCCAGAATGAGTACTTTCTAAAAAAAATATCAGCAATGGTATCCCATAATTTCTAAGACTATTTTGATATATATGAATATTAGTGTAGGGGGGTCAGAATTATTGCAAACGGCTGTAGATGTGCAGTATATATGCATAAATTCAGATGTGACGACTTCCTGGGAAACAAGGCTAAACAGGGTGCGAAAGAGTTTATTATTTATTTTATTTCCCTATTAAAAAAATCGATCATTCCCACTTGTATTCGTCTAATATAAAAAGAGGCTGGGTCGAGTATAGCAAACCGATTGAACTAAAGATTTAATTAAGATGACTCTCGCGAAAATTATGTAACCTTGAATAGTGACAAATTCTAAGTCGAAAATACATCAGACCCGGGATCGGTCTCAGGCCAAAATATATCTCAATATTTGAGCCCCGAGACGAATGCATGATCACCCCGTGCATGAAGTTCATACTCAAGCCTGTTTCAAAAGAAAAGAGAGGTAAAAACTCATCTATGACCAGGGCATGACGGTTGCTGTCATTTAGCATAATTAGTGTTCGTAGTATTTTTTTTTTTTTCAGACTTTCTCTCCTGATTACGTTGGGTAAAAAGAAAGAACCTTTAAAACGAGAAAATAACTTTTTTATTCAAAACACTTGAGGTCACTTAAAATGCKGTCCCTTGGGACTCTTCAGTCACGCATGGATCACGCTAATCGTCATGGCAACCAATCGTTTGTAGATACAAAGGATTGACMACGGGAAACAGTGTAGTATTTCAGACCGAACTTGATCAACCATTTTGAACTTAAAGTTAGAAATATTGGACCAAAAGTCAGTACAGAAATAAAGACAACGTACTGAAATGGCCACTGCTAACATGCCAGCCATTCAGCAYCCAATGTCCCRTGTAGAGGATCCAATGAATATGAACATTCGAGGTGTTTCGCGGGACGGATCAAGAGCAGCTTCTCGACAAAGCCTCAACTTTGCTGCTGACCTTGAYGGACGSGGTAAAGTGAACGCGTTCAGGCCTCTAACAGCAGACCAAGTACCTTGGAGGCTAACAAAATCTTCACATGGCTATGGCGGAAATGATAAAGGTTCCAAGGAGCGTGGAGTTTCTCTTGGAAACATMCCCGAAGGTGTTGAAGTCAGACGGTCCGATGACCCAAACAAACCAACAATTCCTATCTTTGGTTAGTTTAAACTTGACTTTTATAACCATTATTATTATCATTACCATAGCTGATATTGTTGTTTATTTGAAAGTGGTATGTTATATAAAAGCGGATATTATAGTTTGTGTTTCTCAGCTTGTTGTCTGTTCGCGGCTCTGCGATTACGCGTGCAAATGTTACAATCTTAAGTGTAAGCACTCCACTTCTTTACCACGTTGTATCGWCAACRAAGACAAAGAAGTTCTCAAASTTATTACAGACAAAAAGTTTCATGCCAGCTTTTGCCAAAACTTCTTGTAGTTTATGAATATTCCTTATCGCCCTTGTCGTTGTCAGGTTTCCTTCTCTCCAAATTTAGTTAGGTGTTGATGAAATAATCTACGTTTTGTCGATATTTCAAGCACTGTTTCTTTCTAATGAAATTTATTTCATCTGCCAAACCTTTTTTCACACTTTTATCTATTTTCGACAAGTTTTCAACACATTTTAACAGCTGCTAAATAATTAATYCAAAATATTCTTTAACAGACCTCTCAGGGAAAAGCCTCTGTAGCTTATCAATAAATAATAAAAGTCAATTATAGTTACTTGTATATTTAAACACTTTCTTGGATACTTAGCAAGCAGATTTTTGTTAGAAATAACTCTAAGGAAAGCTCATGATCAGGGAACGTTTTTATTTTAATGTCTACTTGTTATTTTGCATAAGTTTCAGACAATTTTTCGTTTATTTACTTTTTGCTAATAGATGTGACACKGTATTTCATGTGTTATTCATCAATTAGCAATATTAAAATGTTATATTGWATTTCGTTTACTTGGGTTGCTATGGAACCATACTTGTAGAGAAATATTTTTTTTCTAATATATGAATTTATTGTTGGGATACAATTTATTTTTTATTAAATATATCAAAAGTTTATCTGTATAAATAATTTTTTCTATGTGAATGTTCAAATATTTTTTTTCTATATCTTGGGAAAAGTGATTTTGTAAAATTTCACTTCGAATTTTACAGTATTTGAAAATTGAATATTATTATTAAAGTATATTATTTATCTTAAAGTAAATATAGTCAAATAAGAAAATGAAATAATTATTGTTTTTGTTAATCAATCATCATAATATGTTTTTATTAATCGTCATTATCATCATATATTATAACAGGAAGTAGAGCAGACATGGCGAGTCGAGCTGAGAGYCGGTTATCAAGACTCAATAGCGCTGCATCATCWCATGGGCCTGAAAAAGCTACAGTTGACGAGGTACTTAATTGTACCACATTAATAATCATAATATAACTATTATTACCTATAATTCTACAAATAATGTAATAGTCTCCTTYACGGTTACCTGCGCCATCTTGAAAGGTAGCCGTGCCTTTACATCGAAGCGAGACAACCTTTGAGGGTGCAATGATAGAAACCTTCTTTCACACCTACAGACAATTATTCACAGGTTTCTATCATTGCACGCTCAACGGTTGTCTCGCTTCGATGCAAAGGCACGGCTACCTTTCAAGATGGCGCAGGTAACCGTGAAGGAGACTATTATCCTCTGCTCATTGGTGGAGAGTCTGTCATCTGACATGATAATGCCCGTCATGGCGGGGTACTAATATTACATATATCCGGCTACTTCATAATTTTTTTTTGTTGAATAATAAAACATGGAGATACGATAGCTGCCCTTGGAAAGAACTATTATGAAGAGACTATTTGCTTTTGGAATGCCTTGATATGCAGGCTGATTTTTAGCATAATTTTCTAGTATAATTGTTTTTAAAATAYATTTCTATTCATGTTATAGCTTGAGATGATCCTGCGCGAGAAGATGAWGACAGGATACTTCCTGATAAAAAATTCATTTAAACAATTTGACCCAGAGGGAAAAGGCATCGTCAGCAGGTATATTAAAAATAATTATAKTAATAACATTTCTATAATTTATTATATTTCATATTTATAATAATAATAGTTTAATTGTAAGTTATCATTTCTAATTATTTCCAATTATTACCTGTTGTTGTTTTTTTTCATTATGTCATAATTGATAAATTATCATTACTTATGATTCAATGATTATATAATTTTTGATTTGCTCCGGGGTGGCTTTCTTAGAAATTTGGCTTAGGGACAACTTTCTGTGGGATCAGAAGTTGAAATACTTAGTGTTATGGAGATCAAAAGAGAAACTAGATCATCAGAGAGCTATAATGTTAATTGTTTTTAAAATTTCATAGTCCATTTCTCAGTATCATTTTTATAGATGTTATTTTTTTTAAATATTTTAGAGAATCATTGTCACAGATAATCACTAACTTCATTGGCAAGTCGGTCAGTCTAAGTCAGTTCAATAAATTGATGGTCAGGTAAGTGATATTCCTTATTTATCAGGGATGGGTGATGCCAATCTTGTTTTTCTCCTCTTTTTGGCCTTTAGAATTAATGTTTTTCATTATATTTTGTAGACTTCGGCTGGATCAAAAGAAAATGATTGCATATGATGAATTTTACGCTTCATTCCGACCACCAAAGGTTAGCTTCCTCTTACCCACAGGGATCCCAAGCGCAGSCTAAATTTTGGCGGGAATTTTTTCTGTATTTCGCCGCGCGAGYGTGCAGAATTTGTAAAGTTTGACTTTGTGTCAACAGAAGGCAGACCAAGGCCCAGCATGGCTTGAACTGGAAAAACCAAACCTTAAAACCATGTCAGCTGCACAAGTTCATGCACATCTCAAGGAGAAAGCAAAACAAAGGTATTTTTTACTTTTGAAAAAAAGCCACGAAATACTTTCAAATGATCTACTTTTGCCTTTTGCAGTGCATAGTCGGCAGAATAATAACTTAAGCTTTTTAAATAAGCTCTTACAAGAACTCAATGAAAAATCTGTACGCTAGCAAACTATGGGAAAATGCCGTGAGCTCTGTGTCGCAAAGTTAGTGTAAGCTTAATTAAAAGATTTCATTCAGCTTGATCGTATCAATTAAATATTCACCAGTGCGACAAGCGATGCAAGCGACATCAGCACAATAACAAGTTTTTAGTACATAAACATTTTAAATTTTATCTCATGGTACTTACGTGCAAATTTGTTGTTTATGGATACTATTTTGAGGGAAGAAAACACAGTTGTTGCGATTTGAGCAACCAGGAACCATTTCGTTGACTTTGTTGTTCCTTGCCGCTCGCGGTTGTCTTCTCTGCTAGTACGTAGAAAAGGCGCGAAAATGGAAGAAAAGCTCTAATTGGTTTAAATAAGTGTTTTTAAAACCGTTTTTTATTGGTACAAAATGTTTTGCCAGTACAAAATTATAATTAAACTCAAAACATAAAATGGCAATGGAAGATATAAATAAAATGATTAAATATCAATTTTATCAATAATAAAGGTTTCTAGACGTAGCTGATTTAATCCCGCAAATGAATCCGGGGGGCTCGGGAAGAATTCTTCGTCCCGAACTTCGRAATGTCCTAAACCAATTGGGGTTCTACATGGACGAAGACGAATTCGAAAAACTTTGGCTGAAATACGATACGGAAAACGTCGGCACCATCAAGGCAGAAAAACTTCTCGGAAAGCTTGGAATTTCCATGACACCTGGGGAAACCCGCGACGAACCGAGGTCCCCCCGTAAGCTGGAGGTTGAACGACGACAGCAGCTTGACGTGGAGAGATGGCTGAAGAGGAAATTCCGGGAGGGGTGTTCGGACATGAAGCACGCTTTCTTGGAAGTGGATGTAGAYCGCAYCGGCCGCGCAAGTAAAGACAATTTTAGACGCGTTTTGAGCGAGTTTGGTTTAAAGTTGAGCTCTAACAAACAGCTGGAAGATTTTCTAGCAAGGTACGTTGTTCACGTTAAGTCTATCCAATAAAAATTTTAAAAGCTTACATAAATAGGGCAACAAACGACCAAAGGTGTCAGCCGTGGATTTAAGTTTTTTTTTGTAAGTTTGTAAATCTTGTCCATGTTCAGCAATAACATTAGTATTTTCTAATGGAGTTGATTGATGTATCACGCTGCCATGATTTTCTTATTTTGTAATAAACAGTGTCGTTTCTCCTTAGATGCAGTGTTTCACTAACGGATGGTCAAGTTCCTTATAAGGAGTTCTTACGTCGTTTTCAAGACAGAAGTGAAGGAGGCATGGCACACAAGATACTAGCAAATCCCTTACATAGGTATATCAATAAAATATTGCGATGGCGGTCTCTCTTAATGACGTCATATCTGTTTTCGCGAAGTGCACCATGGTATTGATGAAATTATCAAGATGACAGATATAAAAACTGCGAAGGACGAAGTTTCTTTGCAAAGTTAACTACGTTATCCTTTTTCGAGAAACTTGTGAAGACCATAAATAAGATGTCAGCACTGTAAAATAGGCTCCAAAGATTCTCGACAATGGACAACGTTCATATTTCAAAGAAACTTCAATCTTCCTCATGGTCCTTCGTGGGTTTTGTAAGACATCCACCATTTTGATACCATGATGCACTTCACGCCAAAACAAACATGACGTCATTAGTKAAAAAGTACACCATTGACGACTTTGCTCACACTTGTGAAATGCTAGTCAACGCGTTTAAACTTACTGGTATTGTTTACATCACAGATATCACCATAGTGACCAAGGTAGTACATTCTCAACAACCTCAGCAGTGGAAGCAAAAATAATGGATCATTTCCAAAAGGACTTTTTAGCACTRCTCGGAACGTTTCAGTAAGTYCAGTCTAAAACYGCGTATACGTTATCGAAGTGAACAATTATTTTTAAAACTATAATTTATAATGAACATGTCTCTCAATTTACAGTAATATAGATCGCAAAGATGAAGGGCTGCTCACTCAACAGCAGTTCCGCGCTGCCATAGAGGGCCGCTTTGAACTGGGAATGAGTGACGRAGAATATGAGAATTTTCTCAAGAAAGTACCGATCAACAACGAAGGGATGGTGAAATACGTGGAATTTATGTCTAAATTTGATACTATGTAAGCTTGATAAAATATTTTTTATGTGGTCGTCAAAGCAAAAATGATAATAAAACTTAAATATACGAAAATTACTTTTAATCTCAATATGTTTCGGCATTAAAATCATTTTTGTTCGTATTGTAATTTTTATTTGGTATGAAAGGATGTTGATCCAGTTATTTATTGATGTTCAAACTGACATTTTCACCAAATTTTAGAGATACCAAAAGTCTCTTYGATCGATCCAGCGTCAYCGAAACGAATATCYTAAAMAATATTGACGTAAGTCCACCAGCATCACCAAGGAAACGCAACAGACCAGTATAYACCGTGGACTCATATGACAGTAAAGATGGACGTAGTGTTGAAGATATGAAAAAACTTATCAAGAAATTGTTAACCAATAACTATCAAGCATTTGAAGAGGTATGAATATATAGCAACTTTTGTCCTCTCTTTGAGCATGCRTGAYAGTAAGTCTSAAAGGAATTCTTGGAATTCTACGTTKCGTAARCAAATTTTTGCCTWTTGATGCCTGCTATGTAAATTTKAACGATWCTAAAAATGATGATGGCYATTTTTTTAGGCGTTTTACGAGTTGGATGAATTCAATAGTAAACGACTTACGCAGGATATGATGATCAAACTACTAAAAAGGTAACATTTTGCGTACGTAAATTACGTACGTTGGTAGCACCGCGTAAAGCTGCATTTTTATGCCAATCAGTTTTTAGATTTCTGTTGCTCTTGATGGTTTGTTGCGCAAATATGTATTATGTCTTTTTTTCTGATTCAATACGTTCTAAAGTTGCGTATACCCTTACTTCTTTTTACGGGTTTCATTTCATTCATTTTWAAGATTTACGCTACGTGTTTACGTTTACGTTTCTTTATAGATTTGGAGTGGACTTGAACCGTAATGAAATGAARCGTCTTTGGGATACGTTTATCAGAGATCAAAGAGGCCATCTTGAATATTTACAATTCGTTCGCCATTTTGGTTACTCACTCGATTCTGCTGGTAAGCTCAAAAAATATATATTTAAAATGTTTAAAATATATTTTAAAATGTTGCATTCTGACCTAACGTTTGCGTTTTACAGCTTTCCCSAATGCAAAAGTCTCGCCACCAAAACGAGGCGATAACGATTTYATGATGAGATCAAATAAATTGAATAGCGCTGTCGACATGTTGTTTGAACAACTCAAATCTAAAGTTGACTTTTACTGGGAGAAACTCCGAGAAGAATTCACGTCTATTGATACAAAGGGCAAAGGCCATGTCACAAGAGAGGAATTTAAGGTTTGTAGAATATTTTTTGCGTCTTCCATTTGTCAGAACTTACTGCCCACACAAAAAAGTGCCTTGAAATGGACTGATCTGGACGTCAACCAGTTGTGTCATCCTCGTACCCAGATCCTTGTGAGTTTCCCAACAGAAAATTGAGGGTTCTGGTTGACCTCAAAAAGACTTTGATTTGATTGGTTCAAACATCCCCGTGCTCCATCAATATGCATCAGGAGCCATGGGCTCCTGTATGCATATATTCCTGTATCGTCTCGAACCAGAGCCTTCGATTTGCAGTTGAGAAATTGACAATTGATCGTTTTCAACCATTSAAAAGATAAAAGACCGGCGGCCATGTTTGAGAAATGAACAATAGATACAAATGTGAAATCCTTTGTTTAAGTTCCTCCAAGATGGCCGCTGTGACGTTTGTTGCGGAAAACGAAGAATTGTGTCTAAATGTAAAGCTTTACCGTTCAGATCTTCTACCTCATCTTGACCGCATCAGAACTTTATGAGTGACACTTTTGAATCCCGCGGGTATCCCCAGGGGGTAGGAGACTGTCGTTTCAATCATTGATTGGTACACTACTTTGATTTGTGAGGAAAAACGCAAAGTTTGAATATCTGATGTTATTTTTCTTAGGACGTKATTCAAGATTTGTGTATCGAAATGACTGATTACGAGTGCAGTCTTGTTTGTGATAAATTTGACCCAAATAAGGAAAATAAGTAAGTCTAAATAAAATTATATTATGTACAAGCAAATGTTTTATCATACAATTCTATATCTTCATATTTTGTCAAATCTTATTTTATGCTTGTATATATTAATTGCTCTATGTTTTAGGGTTAACTACTTTAAATTCTTGGAACCATTTGCTCGAAGACGACGAACTTACAGACAAGGAAACAACATGGTAGCATGTCTCAATCATCCTCAAGCTGAATTGGTGAGTTACGCGCGAAAATCTCTCCATCTTTACACTGACGAGCATGTTGTCTAATTTTATACGTTTTTCAGCCAATGGATGACATTGTCCCAAATCCCAACAAAGGGCTGTCCGGCGTGACATCAAAACTAAGACAAAAGGTTTGTGACGTTCATATATAATTGTACTATTGATCGTTTTCAACCATTCCCATGAGATTCAAAAGATAAAAGACCGGCGGCCATGTTGGAGGAATGAACAATAGATACTAATGAGAAATCCTTTGTTAAAGTTCCACCAAGATGGCCGCTGTGACGTAGAGTGAAAACGAAGAATATAATAATCTTTTCTTTGCTCCATCTTCAGTTACTCCTATTGAATGCGTTCTCGWTCCTAATAAATACGTTTTTATCCTTTTCTGAATTCTCCCCTCTTTCATTTCTTTATTTGATCCTTCATTGGTAAATTCAGGATTTTTCAAAATGGGTTCCAGATTTTTTTACTTCTTTGCTTTCAATATATGAGCGCTGTTCGTTTGAATGCAACCATAAAACGGCGGTGCAGCGGACCGAGTTTTCCACCCCACTGTCCTTACTTTACTCTTTGYAGTTTTACATCGTTTCCCATTCTTTTCCCTTCMCTYCCCATTTGCTACATTTTCCTYTCTATTGATTATAATAGTTCAACAATGGTCAACTAGTTRTCATGGTTTCTGACCCTTTTGTAATGTTTACAATATGAGCGSCCGTGTTGAGTCAAATATTACAACACTCTTCACGGTTGTCATTTCTATTGTGTTTTCCTCATTAATTATTCATGAGTTTTAMAAGGCTAGATATAATATTRTATACATTTCTCTTTTGATTCCATAGTTGTCTGGCGAATGGAAAAATCTCCGAAGGGCATTYCGCAAGCTTGACATCCATAACGACGGATACCTAACAATCCCAGAATTCCGCTCAGTCCTAAGACTTTGTAACGCAGTACTTGACGAAGATGAGATTTATCATCTGCTGTCTGAGCTGGACAGCGGTCTGGAGGGGAAAGTCTCGTACCGAGACTTCTTGGCGAAAGTCTCGGCCTAGCAAAGTATTTYAGATTTATTTTCGGCTGCTGTCGAGTCGGAGAGTGATTTCTGAAGAGAAAACCTTGTTCAGGACMTTTTACCGAGCGGCTATAAATCCATTAATATAATATACTCACAAAAGATGTATTGTCCGCTCTCATAACTGGACAGCGGTTTCTCAGCGAGCGACTTTGTGAATAATGTTCCTGTCAAGTAATGCATTGTGCGCAATTTTTTTAGACTAAGGCAATGTCGATTTTTTCTTTTTAAATTTTGTCTGCAATCAAAAGAAGACAGCGGTTTTTTTCAAGTATAGCTTTTTGAATAATAACCCTGTCCAATAATGCATTGCGCGCAAGTTCTTTATTCAGAATATGGAAATGTGTATTAGTATATTACATTCATAAAAGTGTTATCAAATCTAATTTATAAGAAGTTACTCAAGTGATGTAGAGTTTCCATTTACTAAAAAGAAAATAAAAGTCAATAAACTGTGAATATTTACTCTCGCAGACCACAGACAGCCTTTTAATTTTATGATAAGATTTGAAATTCCTTAAAACAAACATCATGACAAATCCATGGAAACTGATTTCGAGTGACGTTTCAGAAGTTGATCCGTTCAGAGATCAGTTAATCGTAACAAACGCYAGAAATTGTAGCTGTAAAATTCTGAAAAAATTCGAAATTGTATACCTGAGGTCGAATAACTTGATTTTTACAAATTCACGTGAAAGTCAACGTTTTGAGCTCATTTACATTAAAAGCGAGTCTTTACGGCTTCTTTTGCACTACAACATTGAATTCTCATACGAAATTTCAAGGTTAAAAAACATTGGCCTATTTCACAATTTAATCAAAATTATTTCATTAGAAAAACACCTACTAGTTTAAAGATATGAATATGAAGACCGCATGGCACTATGATAAACACGATATAGAAATGAAAGAAAGTTATAGTGCTTAGAAGGAGGCAATTCCGGGAGAAGTCCCTTATATTAGGAATAAATTCGGAAAAAATTAATTTCCGACCTCGCTGGGATTCGAACCCTAGTTTAAAGTTTACTTAGTTTACTAGTTTAAAGCCTGTTGTAAAGTTGAAAAACTGAAATTAATATTCATGATAATTTTTTTTGACATTCAAGTTGTTTTCATTGGACAACCTTTTATTACTTGTATAACAAGTTATTGCAAAGGGATTCTCATTTTGTGCGCCACATCCCCTGGTGTACTGAGAAACACAGGTGTCGTTTTATGGGCTGATTGAAATCGGGGTAAACTGCATGACCTGAGATTATTTGTGGATCCTGAAATCAAAAATAAGGTAACTTAAATACCATGTTTCCTTAGCTTCAATGATTATAGTGAAATTGAACATTTTTGAACTGTGTTTATATTATGATTCCTTTTCGATACGAGGTTAGTTTATCTGTTGAAGATCAATCCATAACGTTTAAAAAAACTGCAAAGCTTGTTTTCTAAATACTTTTGAAAGAAAAAAAAGAACGAAAAAATTGCTCGAGTTAAAGTTGTTCTTAGCATATCTGACTCAAATTCGAAAATAATGCTGATGAGATGTCAACAAGAAGGGTCATGTWAATAAACAGTTTCTAATTGATTTTAATTAGGAACAGCAAAGTGTAAAAATAAAGCATTAAAACGATATTAAAACAAATTTCAATTATCGTTTTTGCTCAAAAAATTCCACTTTATATGTCTGAGCAAGACGAAGCTTTATTACGGCATAGTCTTTTCATGAAAAATACKTAATGAAGGGTAGAGAATTTTAAACGGTAGTCAATGTGAATTATTTATTTCTTGATTAAAATTTTTCAACTCGCAATCAATAACCTTATGTGATAAGTTTTGAAAACTTGAGCGTTAGACCATTATCATTGTGCAAAGATTAAAAAATGTCTGACCAGTGCCTTGTATTTAAGGAATAAAAGACGAAATTCCGTGTTTGATACTCTGATCAAAACACGCGGGATGTAGGGAGAGCACGAGAGAAGCGTAGGAAACCACGACGCGTAGAAATTTTTGACGCGCGCGAGCGTGTTTTGATACTGTAATCAAACATGGTTTTCGACCAATCACAGCGCGCGTAGTATCCTAAGTATTTTAGAAATTTTCAATCTAAATTGTTCACAGCTATGCAACCGTTCTACTTTCTGATTCAATTCTTCTTGTGCTTCAAACACGTCCTTGGCAAATCTCATTGCGTTGGCACCTGTTATTCCGGACGACTTTTCCCAGAGCCCCAAGACACCTTCCATGGAAAACATCTCAAGGGATACTCCTACAACAACATCACCACTGATGATCCAGCCAAGTGCTACTCATCTTGTTTCCAAGATTGCCGCTGTAAGGCGTGCCAGATGAAAGATGCAAGATGTGAGCTGCTGGACGAGGACAAGACATCCAAATCTGGCGACTTTGTGCCTCAATCAGGATACGTGTACTTTGATCTCAGACAAACCATGTTTCACGTGGTTAGTATTTCTTTTACTCAGATTCCTAACCTGCTAAAAATTCTCAGAAACAAATATATATTTATCATATGATTTATAAAACACCATTTTGTAAAATTGGTATTTTCACTAGTGAAAAATAACATGTTAATAACAACATGTTCGCTACGCCGCTCACTCGTGAGAGATCTTTTCAACACTCAAAGATAAAATCCGTATCTCCGCGCGCACATGTAATATCCTCTATGTATTAAAACATACGGTCTTATTTACACCAGTTAGTCAAACCGTACAGTGTTATGAAAGACAGCTAGGTCTTTGATAGCTAAATGCTCTGTGCTATATCCTTAGGAATCACACATGGTTCCCGTAGCACAAGGTGTCTGCTACAACGGGTGCTGCCGATCCAATCCCTGCATCAATGGAGCAAAATGTATCGAATTATGCAAAGATCCGAAAGTGAAATTCAAATGTCAATGTCCAAATAGTCGTACAGGAAAAGTCTGCCAGAAAACGATCTCTTCTTGTAAAGATGTCCTGGCGTCTTCAAATTCCTTACCGGTTAATGGTGTGTACAGTATAACTCGTAAGGACACCAGGGCTGTTGTCCAAGTCTACTGCGCATTCACGGCTCCAAATCAGGCCTGGACATTGATTGAATCGTTTTCTTTAGATATGAATAGGATGTCCTTGTCCATGGCATACTATAACAAAGCCTTTAACCAAGATTGGGCAAGAAACCAGCACTCCCACAACTGGAAAGACTTCCGTATGTCTCTTGCAGATATGAAATACTTCCGATCTGATTCATCAATGTTTCGTGCGACGTGTGATTTCCCAAACAAAGATATCGACCTTACACCTGATTATATGATCGGCAATTTGAGTGCTTACGATCCAATTGGCAATCCAGATGCAACGGGAAAATGTTTTCTGATTACTTATGTAAATATAAGAGGGTACGAATTCCTCAACGTTCAAACACCAATGTGGAGTGTCGTAAATACCTTTCATCCTCACGTTGCTTGTGGCGACCCCACACTTTGCGCAGCGCCGTCTTTTCCTGTGAAGGAGTCCGTCGCCAGCGAGGACTGCTTTGGCTTTTACGGAGCTTCTAATACAAAATCAAAATGTACTGCAACGAAGGAATCTACCACACAGTGGTGGCTTGGAGACACAGTGTAAATTCTCGTTAACTCAGCTTTATTTCTTTTGATGGTTAATACAAGAGAAGTAATAAAAACTGCAAAACCCCAGTCTACCACACAGTGGTGGTTAGGAGAAGAGAAATAATCAAAATACACTGCAACACGCCAGTCTACCACACAGTGGTGGTAAGGAGACGCGAAATAATCAAAATACACTGCAACACCCCAATCTACCACACAGTGGTGGTTAGGAGAAGAGAAATAATCGAAATACACTGCAACACCCCAGTCTACCACACAGTGGTGGTTAAGACACAAGAAATAATCGAAATACACTGCAACACCCCAGTCTACCATACAGTGGTGGTTAAGACACAAGAAAAAATCAAAATACACTGCAACACGCCAGTCTACCAGACAGTGGTGGTTAGGAGAAGAGAAATAATCAAAATATACTGCAACACCCCAGTCTACCACACAGTGGTGGTTGAGAGAAAAAATAAATAACACTGCAACACCCCAGTCTACCACACAGTGATGGTTAGGAGAAAAGAAATAATCAAAATACACTGCAACACTCCAGTCTATCACACAGTGGTGGTTAGGAGAAGAGAAATAATCAAAATACACTGCAACACCCCAGTCTACCACACAGTGGTGGTTAGGAGAAGAGAAATAATCAAAATACACTGCAACACCCCAGTCTACCACACAGTGGTGGTTAGGAGAAGAGAAATAATCAAAATACACTGCAACACTCCAGTCTACCACACAGTGGTAGTTAGGAGAAGAGAAATAATCAAAATACACTGCAACACCCCAGTCTACCACACAGTGGTGGTTAGGAGAAGAGAAATAATCAAAATACACTGCAACACCCCAGTCTACCACACAGTGGTGGTTAGGAGAAGAGAAATAATCAAAATACACTGCAACACCCCAGTCTACCACACAGTGGTGGTTAGGAGAAGAGAAATAATCAAAATACACTGCAACACCCCAGTCTACCACACAGTGGTGGTTAGGAGAAGAGAAACAATCAAAATACACTGCAACACCCCAGTCTACCACACAGTGGTGGTTAGGACAAGAGAAATAATCAAAATACACTGCAACACCCCAGTCTACCACACAGT